CAACATCCAGCATTGCACATGGGCCAAAGATTGAGCTCTGTGAAGTGTGAACTACAACCATCTAGGAATCAACTGAGCTTATCATATCTTTTCTTTTTCATGTGAGGCATCAACACTTCAACAGAGGTCAAGCTATTGCAGCCTCGATGGGCTCGACCTGAAGCCCACACATAGAATACCAGAATGGCCTGGCCCAGTACACAATATGCTGGCCACTCCCACTGATTAATCCCGCTTGGGTTGCTCACATGCGTAGAAGCTAGCTTAAAAGTTCAGCTCTCGAGCCTCGAAGCACGACCTTACTTGAACGGGATCTGTTCTAGCAATCACTTTAAGCCTGGTTGATGAGCAATGACCTGTGGGCCAGAGCGTCTTGCCTGTCTGGGGTGGCCTACAGGTTGTCTGACAGACTCTTTTTTGCTGTGCTGCATTTGAGGACCATTTGTTTGAGCAAAGTATGTCAGCTGCTGTTGTGCTGCATTTGATGACCATTTGTTTGACCAAAATATTCCAGCTGTTTTTCCTCAACATTTGCTCTCAAATTAGAAGAGGCAGATCTCTTGCCTATTTTTGCCATTAATAATAGATATTTTTTTACTATGGGCTGCATTTGGAGGGAGTAAGCAGGATATTCCTGTCACCGGCTGCATTTAAATGGGGCAGATCTCTTGCTCGTTTTTGCCATTAATAATAGTCTTTTTTTAGCCGTGCTGCATTTGGGAAGGAATTTGACCACAATATTCCTGTCAATAGCTGTTTTTTTAGCTGAACGTTGCTCCCAATTTAAAGGGGCAGATCTCTTGCTCGTTTTGCCATTAGTAGTTCAAGACTTTTTAGTACAGTTTGCTTGCTTTAGGTTGCTTCTTAATCTTTTACTGTGCGAATCTGCGATGTAGAACACATTAGTGTTGAGTCATCATGATTCTTTCTACCTGATTTGCAGAAAGCTCACTGTTGTTTTGATCTCCTTTTCTTCATTTTTGGTTCCAAGTAAGGTGGTGTTTGGATCCGGTGACTAAAATTTAGGAGGTATGTCAGGAGGATGTTGCATGGGGTGTTCGGATACTAATAAAAAAATAAATTACATAATCCGTCAGTACTCCACGAGACGATTTTTAAGCCTAATTAATACTTCATTAGCACATGTTTACTGTAGCACCACATTGTCAAATCATGGACTAATTAGACTTAAAAGATTCATCTCGCAAATTAGTCGCAAACTATGCAATTAGTTTCGTAATTAGTCTATATTTAATTCTCCATGCATGTGTTAAACATTCGATGGGACAGCGATTTTAGGAGGGGCAACCAAACACCACCTGAAGCTATATTCGTTTCCAAAAAAAGAAAGAAAAAAGCAAGAGCTGAGTTTCTGAACCTTGTGAGTTGTGACCCATGTTTATACTACAACCGTGTTGGGCTATTGGCGTATTTTGCATCTCTGCAGTGTATGTACCTAGTAGATCTTCAGAAGCAACAGTGCATCATCATCCATTTTTCAATACTGAAACAGATCCATTTCAGGTGAGGATCTGACCCATCGCTGCTTGATTTTGGTATCTCCGGTGCTAGTCGTTGGTAAAGATTATTAATTACTTAAATAAGTAGTATGTTCATGGAAAATCATCAACTAGGATCCATGTCAAATAGAGCATCTGAATGAAACGCTCTGTGCAACGTCTATTTCTTTACCGGCGTTCCTCCTAATTATGGAGTGGTTCTTTTATGTACTGCCAGAACTAATTTCAGTGCCAATCTTTACATAACATTTGAACTTCAATGGCTACATAATTTTGCACACAAGAGTAAGAACAAAGCAGCAGTATATCTTGCTAAAACACGGTAACATAGGCATCTTTCTTACATAACATGTGTATGTATGAAAGTGACAGGGATGGATCATGCTGCACAAAAATTCCACAAAAATGTATTTTTTTAATAACCTCGCTTGTAGAACCAATAATTTATAATCTAGGATACACTGATAACCACAACATGCACCAACCATCTTTGGGTGATAAGCAATCCAAACAAAAATGTAGCATGCTGCAACAAAACCAATCCGCTTCTACAACCAGAATGCATCAGGAGCAAAACAATATTCATGCCTATATACTACAGAGGACTTGTTTAAATGGGGCAGATCTCTTGCTCGTTTTTACCATTAGTAATAGAGACTTTTTTTTAGCTATGCTTCATTTGGGAAGGGAATTTGAGCACAATTGGCCCCGTTCGGCTTACTCAGAAACCGGCTTGTTCGGCTTATTTTTCAACCGGAAACATGTTTTTCTCTCACAACAATTCAGCCAGAACAGTATTTTCAGCCAGTTTCAGCAAACCGAACGGGACCGGCTATCAACATCTCTCTCTCTCTCTTGCTGAACGTTGCTCTCAATTTAAAGGGGAAGATCTCTCTTGCTCTCTCTTGCTAAACATTGCTCTCAACAGCTGTTCGCCTGATGGTTTCTGCGGCTAATAAGCCGGCTGAAACTTTTTTGTTGTGAGAGAAAAACATTGTACCATGGATGATAAGCCATGCTGATAGTGTTAAGTCATCAGGATTCTTCCTACTTGATCCACAGAAAGTTCACAGTTGTTTTGATCTCCTTTTCCCTTTTTTGTTTCCAAGTAAAGATATACATTTCAAAAAAGCTAGAGTTGAGTTCCTGAACCTTTGTGACCCATGTTCACTAGTCCATTACGCGCGCCCTTGCGCGCGCCGGCAAATCATCTGGTTAAGGCATAGGTAAAAAAATATGTTTAATCTTTGCATGAAAACAATATTAGGAGTTTAATGTAGATATTTCATGCACAGAAACTGAAAGATTGGAGCTTTTTTATATGGTGCAGGACACATCTACTCTGCATACTTTTGAAATCATGGCATTTTCTATGCGTGGTAATCATAGACACGACATTTCCAGATCATACACATATCTGAATTTCGCACTAGAATGGAGCCTATTATGAAATTCAGAAATCTTGGAGAGTAACAATGATCATACATTTAAGCAAATTTGAGTTCCATTTCAAAGGAAAACAAATCATAGCAGCACAAAACATAGAAAATAAAAACTCCACTCCAACCCAAGGGAAAGAATCTTTGCTCTCACTCTCTTGCTATGCTTGCTCAGATTCCTGTGGCTTATTCCCACCATTCTAAACATCTCAAAAATATCAATTGCTGTGTTTTAGAATCTATAGTTTTTCACTATCCACTATATCCTATTTCAGTGGTTAAGGAATCTCAAATGATCATCATCTAAACTAGGAGGACAGCCATCTGGTAGTCTCTAGAGTTTCTGAAATATGCCCCCCTTAATCTGTATAGCACGTGGATAGTTTATCATTACTGAGAGCTATGAAATCTTTAATCTAGGGCATGCTTGAAATGTGACAATGTAACAAAGATTTCACAGGAAAGGTGGCGACAAAACACGCCAATATAGTTTTCTTCATGCAAGGTGACTAAAATATTTAGATAGTTCAATTTTACCTGATCGTTGACGAAACAAGCAGCACGAGAATTGTGGCAGAACCCATGAAGCGGGTTAAGTAATCTCAAATGGTCATCATTTCAACCAGGAGGACAACCATCTGACAGTCTGTGGTGTTCCTTAAATATGCCCCCTTTACCTGTATAGCACATGGGTAGCATCATTACTAAAAATTGTGAAATCTTTAAGCAATCTAGGGCATGTTTGGAATGTAACAATGTAACGGATTTTACAGGAAATCCCACAGGGTCAATCTGAACCTATAGTTCAAATGGACTATTCTCTAGACAACAAAAGAACAAAACTTGGTTGGAACTAGAGAGCTCAATATTTGCGTGAGGTACCCTAGGAAAGCAACGTCACCAGACAAATTTGCAGGAAAACAAGCTTGCTTGAAGGCGATAAATCTCATTAGTTGTGGTGTACTAAAAAGAGATGTGCATATAGCCCAAATGATGAAAATGTATAGATCATTGTCACTTCCTTGTCGTATTTAGAAACAAACCAACTTAAAATGCATACATAGGTAGGAGGTTACCAATCGTGACGATGAAGCGACACACCGTTATCTTCATAGGGCACGTGGATCAGTTCCTGACATCATCATCATATCAACCTGCCAAGAATAATAATAATAGACCGAAGGACGTCATGTGTTAATCAGCATAGCATGAATAAATTCTTATAAGTTAGGGAGCACTGTATTTTGTTGCTTCCTAATCTATTAGCCACACAAAAGGTAATGCAATCCCAAAACCTCATACAACTCCCATATAAATAACCCTTAATAAATATACTCTGAATAATTTGTTTTGAGAAATAAGCATTAATAAATGGTATTTTCATATTGGGCAATATGTCAGTTTGGCAGGACAACTCTTAGGTTGTATGTATGGCTAAAATAAATATAAATACTTAGAGCACTCAAATACTGATTACTCCACCCCCTCTCCCATTCCTTTTTTATTTGCACCTATTTTCTTTCACTACAAAGGTTATGTTCATATGCATACTGGGAAACATTAGAACTATAATCAAAGATTGAAGATTAAGTACTTTGCCTACTATTTTGCTCATCATGGTTGCAGAACTTAAGTATAGTATATGTATGTTTTCACGTTGGTACAGAGACAAATCATATACCAAAATAATCCTAAGGCTACCTCTTTTTTCTTACGTTGGTACAGAGTAGCAGGTAGCTTGCAATGACCTCATTGATCTCCATTTTATGTTTTGAAAAGGTTATCGACATATCATAGTAAGCATGAGAAGAAGAAGTAGTATTGCTTTTATACAGAAATCGAAGGGGAGGGGGGTTAGGGACAAAGCTGACCCTAAAGAGTAGAATCATCATTGTTATATATATATGTACCAACAACACTTTCCTATTCGTTAAAAAACATATAAAGCCTAGTAAGCAGGTACAGGTAAGAAATCAACATGAAATGAGAGAAGGTTCAACCAGCCCACACCCTACAGAACGGCAAGAAAATTACAGTGACCATGTCGATCGGTGAGAGAAAAGTTGCAAATGTTTACCTTGATCTCACTTTCAGTTGGTTCAATTATGAGTATGCCAGAAACATGTCGTGGAAATACAACTGCAACGCCTATATAATTCAGAGGAAAGGGTGAGCTAAATAATAGTAATTCCTAGTGACATTTCTCTTTGCAAACTAACATGTTGTTTTAAAGGGCCTAAAGAGTAGAATCATCATTGTTATATATATGTACCAACAACACTTTCCTATTCGTTAAAAAAACATATAAAGCCCAGTAAGGAGGTATAGGTAAGAAATCAACATGAAAGGAGAGAAGGTTCAACCAGCCCACACCCTACAGAACGGCAAGAAAATTACAGTGACCATGTCGATCGGTGAGAGAAAAGTTGCAAATGTTTACCTTGGTCTCACTTTCAGTTGGTTCAATTATGAGTATGCCAGAAACATGTCATGGAAATACAACTGCAACGCCTATATAATTCAGAGGAAAGGGTGAGCTAAATAATAGTAATTCCTAGTGACATTTCTCTTTGCAAACTAACATGTTGTTTTAAAGGGCTGTAAAATTTCTGCTGCCACAACGAAAAAGGTCAGAATTTTTTTCCCAATGAAGACATGATTTTTAGAGGCCTCAGAAACATACCAATCATCATTTGTTCTTCAACTTGAAGCTTCAAGGCATGGTGACAACCGGGTTACTCTCAGAAATTGCATAATATAAATAACAGGTCATGCCCAGTACCTCACAAGAGAATGAACATTAGATCATATCCTTGAGCAATGGGTATGGAATTTTTCTTCACAGGCTCAAGAAGAAAAAAATGGCAGATGCGAAAACTTCAAAGTAGTTTACCTATGCAGAATATTACTGGAGTTGAACATCGCTGTAGCAATCGAAATGTACATATCAATTTGTGCTCTGTTGACAAGGGAAATAAGTGACCACCACTTTGGAAATGTGGTCAGGTAAGATGGCAAGAAGTAGTGATGAGAAGTACACTATCTGTTGTGGCCTCTGATGCAAATCGACCAACATTCAAAATGCCCAGGCACTCATATGGAGCTAAGCTGAGAGAGATTACATAACCTTTGTAGCAGTGATAGTGAGGTGGCAACTGGCAATTGGTGTTGTCCTCCCAGAGATGAACACAGAGAAGGCAAACATTGGAGCTGCGGGCAATATAGGTCAACCAATAGAACACGATTCATAGTCAACGTAGGGAGAAATTAGAGAGACAAAAGCAAAATCACAAAATAAGATGAAACGGCAGACTCGAGATGAGGTTGTGCCAAACGCTGCAACTGTCGAGGCCCACCCAAGACCAGGTGCGGGCACCATACGCAGCCACAGTGGGAGAAAGGGAGAGGGGGGAAGATGAGGACGAGCGATTTCCAGGCCATGCTTCTGCCTTGCGCCGGCAACGCCATGGTCGGGACCCATCCGCACTGAACCAAATCGGGAGAGGGGGAGAGGGAGATTGCACGCTGTGCGTGGTGCGCAGGGGAGCGGAGGGGATAGTGGCCCTCTGCTCGCGGCCACGGCCACCGCCGACTGTTGCACCGCCACATCAGTAGAGGATAGGGAGAGAGAGAGGAGGCGCGTGGGCGCTGGGAGGGATAGCCGTCGCCGCCTGTTCCGCCATAGCCGGGATCAGACACACACAATGCAGGCACCACACGTCAAGAGCGGCGGCGTGAGGGCCCACTCGGTGCACCGCCACATGGAGAGAGAGAGAGAGAGAGGGAGACGGTGGCACGAGCAGAGAGGGAGGGAGAGAGGAAGAGGGAGAGAGAGAGAGAGAGAGAGGGGAGTAAACCAGCGAGCGGACGGATCCAGGGACAGCAGAACCGCGCCGACCGTCTGCAGGACCTCGCGCGGAGGGGGGCCGGCGGCCGGCGGTGGCCACCCGCGCCCAGCAGTGCGTGTCATGGGGCCCCTGAGGGTGGGGGAAGGAGGGGCCAGCCGTGTCCTGGCAGCTTGCACAGCCATGACCCAGAAGAACGCAAGTAAACCATGGTCGTTGTTGCTTGCCGTGAGGAAGGAGAGAGAAACGGGGGGAGTGAAGGAGATATTTTACGTTCTACAGGATTAAGAAGGGATCACGGACGTTGAAGCCGGCATCCAAAGGCCTAAAATGAATTTGCTATCGTGGATAGTCCAGTTAGCGGCCAAAAGTCTTCAGCTTTGATATATAGAAATACTCATACTACAGCCTTGCTGGGAAATTGGCGTACTATTCTGCATCTCTACAGTGTATGTAGCTAGTCAGACATATGTATCTATATAAAATAAACAATATTTGGAATATCGAATGAGTATGATTAGATTGATAATAAATATATTTTTATATTAAGTCTATCTGGAGATATAAAGTAAAAAAAAAACTGATTTAGTCACAATCTGCTTGTCTGGAAGTGCACTTTCTCTTCAGACGGAGGGAGTACTCGTTTCATAGCGACGCTCTGTTCCTATTTTTGTGACGGAGGGCTCCCGTCACAGTGGTGGCGGCGGCAGCAGCCATGGTGGAGATGCGGCAGCGGAGGAAACCGCTGGTGCTCGCCTCCACGCAGGCGCTCCTCGACTCGCTCCCGGGGGACCGCCCGCCGCCGCCGCCGCAGGAGCCGGTGCGCCTTAGGGCCGGCGTCCTCCGCTTCCCCTCCGGCGCCGGCGCCGGCGCCGAGTTCGGGGAACTCTCGTCCTTCGTCTCCCTCCCTGCCACCGCGCTCCGACGGCTCGCGGTCGTCACCGGCACGCCGGTGAGTCCCCTAGTTCCAATCATTTGTTGCGAATTGGAGAGTCGTGCTGGGAAATTCGATCGGTTAGGGACTTCGTCGCGGAAACTCTGCTTGGTGCTTTCAGGAAGAACTTTGGTCGTTTTGTAGAACTAGAAGGCTGTACTTGTTTAATTTTGACCGCGAATTTGATGGGATTGGCGATAGACTACTCGTTTGTGAAAATGAGCTCTAGTAACTGATAACGATGATTACAAGCTGCTGCTACAAACATTGACCACTCCATGCGTGCATTTGTATTTTGATCAGGATGCCATGCACTTTTGTTCAGTGGTCTACTTAGTTTTAAACTGATGCGATCTCTGTGCAGCCTTTTGAGCTTTAATGTTAAATTGCTACCACGTAGGAAACTCTGCTTTGTGATTTGTGGAGCGAACTGGATCTCATGGAATCATTATAGTAGGAGTTTGTTCTTGTGAATTTTGGTGATGAATTAGATGGGAATTGGTGATTTCTGTTCCCAGACTGAGAATGGGTGCAGTGGGCAAACATATTATAGAAAATTGCAGCTGAAAAATTCAACCACTGTAGTCGTTTGTTTGTATTCTGATAAGTGATTTAGCAAGTTCATCTCTGACATAACCCAAGTGCAACTTTTTGAGCTTAGATGGTAAATGGGTACTGTGTAGGATTCTGTTCTGTTCATTTTAGTGAAAAATAATATGCAGCTACTGATCTGCAGGTGCTTGTCAAGAACACTGACAATAATGTTGGGAGGATTGTCAAAGCAGTATTGTTTGATAACCTGTCCCTTGACGACTCCCGCTCAGAACATACTGAGCAAGTGGTCTCTGCCTCTCCTGATCATGCAATGGGCTTCTTACCTTGTCTGTTCTCAAGCTGAAGAGATTGATGCAACTGCCAGTGCTGGAAGTGATCTTTCTCTTCACTTGGACCTTCTTCCATGCCCTCAAGTGCCTAAATATGTGTTGCATTTACGGGTTTCTGTTGTGAGGATTCCTGATTGTGGTGTGCTTGCTTCTTTAAAGATAAATTCATCCTTTGGAGGAAGTGACTACCAAGACATGGTAGATCAAGCTTTGAACGAGTACTTTAAGTTTGATAGGTTCCTAGCAAGAGGAGATGTTTTTTGTATACAAAACAGTTGGAACTGTGGCTCAAGCTGCTGCCTGGCATGCAATAAGCAGGATAATAAACTGCATCCCCGTAATATGATCTACTTTAAGGTATGCCTATGTTTCATACTTAAAAATACTTTAGTAAGTAAATTCTTCACATGCAATTGAACTTGTAGCTTAAATTTAACTGCATTTGCTTATAATTGTAAATGCTTTATAGGATTGCTGCCTGTTTGTTGATATTTTAATCAACTGTTAGGTGACTGGCATAGAACCATCAGATGAACCTATACTTCGTGTTAATTGCAATGAAACAGCCCTTGTGCTTGGTGGAGCTGCTTCTGCCGCAATCCCCCTTTATTCCTTCTTTGCTGCTTCTGGTAATTCAGTACCTTTGCACGGTGAAATAGTGGAGCATTTAGCATCTATCATTGCGCCAGCATTGTGCCCTTTGGATATTTTACCAAAAATCAAGTTTTCCACTTTTTTATATGGCCCGTCAGGTTAGTGCACTTCAACTATAGGGCCTGTTCGCTGGTTGGTGCTGGTGCTGGTTTGGACTGGCTGGTGCTGGTTTTTTGTGAGAGAAAAACACTGTTGGCTGGCTGGTTTGGCCTGGTTGAAACCAACAAGCGAACAGGCTGATAGTTTCATGAAATTTGTATTCCCATACTACTCAACCTTCAATTGAACTCGAGTCCCAAAAATGGCCGCTTTGTAGGATGTGGAAAGCGCACAGTGGTTAGGCATGTTGCTAACCATCTTGGTCTGCATGTGGTTGAGTGTAGCTGTCATGATCTAATGACGTCATCAGAAAGTGGGGCACCTGCTGCAGTTGCAACTGCCTTCAAAGAAGCTCAGAAGTACTCATCTTTTTCTGTCTTTCCGCTTCTTAGTCTCCACTGTTTAAACTTATTCCTGTAGTTATGAAAATATCATTCTCTTCATTTCGTTTTCTTATGGGAACAACTACATTTACGGATTTGGCCACTCTCCAAGTGATGTTGTTTACATCTTTGACTTTGTTGAATAACTTTCTTTGTGAAGGTATTCTCCTTGTATAATACTTCTTCGCCACTTTGATGCAATTGGGAATGCATCCTCCAACGAAGGTCCACAGTCTGAGCAATCTGGGGTTGCATCGAACATGCATATATATATTTTTTTTCAGTTTTCCACTGTCAATCTCAGGCTAGATCTGCACGCCCATGTGTCATTTTCTTTGATGAGCTTGATTCCCTTGCTCCTGCACGAGGATCATCAGCAGATTCTGGCGGTGTTATGGACAGGGTTGTTTCCCAGGTATCATTAATTTCATCCCTGAGGCGGTGTCACAACTTTTCCTCACAAGTCTTCTGTCAAATTACTTGGCCAGTCTCTTCTCACTTCCCCCCTTTTCATGTCTACTAGTTACTTGTGGAGATCGATGGGTCGAGTGATAACAGCCAGGTGTTTCCCTCCATGCCGTACTTGTTTTTGATTGCCATTTCTGGGACGCTTGACATGAAGGGACTTATTTTTACAAAATCGTTTGTAGGACCTTTTCATTATTGGGGCTACCAATAGGCCTGACCTTCTTGATTCCACTCTTCTTCGCCCTGGTCGGTTTGACAAGCTTCTTTATGTCGGTGTAAATACTGATGCATCATACAGGGAAAGGTCATTATTGTTCTTTTCAATTTGCTAATTTCAAATTCATGGCAACTGTTATCTCATTATAACTTCTATACAGGATCCTTAAAGCACAGACGCGCAAGTATAAGCTCCACAAGAATGTTTCTCTTTTGTCAGTTGCTCAGCATTGTCCACCAAACTTTACTGGTGCTGATATTTATGCATTGTGTGCAGATGCATGGTTTCACGCAGCGAAGAGATCAGTGAGTATTTCTGCTACCTAGCTATGTCATGTTTTGCTTTCTTAGCTTTGCTCTGTTGATCTTACATGTGGTATTTTTAGGTTAAAACATTTGAAATCGATCCTTCAAGAAGTAATGATGCCAGTGCCGAAGAAGTCATTGTCGAGATCGATGACTTTATTACAGTAAAACTCCAAATCATTTTGAGTAACCACGGTAATATTTTTTTGTGGTTGTGTGCTAGGAAATAAGGTGTTTTGTTACTGTGCAGGTGTTAGGAGATATCCCACCATCACTATCTCTGGAGCTACAAAACTACGAACAGTTGAGGCAGAAGATTGAAGGACCTTCTAGATGATGTTGGCTAATCCCTAATTATTTCAACCTGATGACTTTGTCCTACCAGATCACTCTCAGTTGACATTCTTAAACTATTAACATCTCCAAACATTCCCTATCCTAAATTTTCTTTTTTACAAGTTCGATCCTGAACTTGGGCACTTCTCTATTCATTCTGGATATATCGAATCACATCCTGGTAGCAGCATTTGCTAGTTCGTTCAGCTAATCTGTATATACATCAGAGCGGCATTTTCTCTGAAGAGAGATATCCTGTCATCCTTTGTGAGCTCCACAACTATTTTGAATTCAACAACACAGAAGACTATTTGATGTAAATCAATTTTGTATAGTTAGTTTTGTTGCTGTACCATGTTGTAATGGCTAAAGAGAATAAGAGTAAATGCAACATCTTTATTGTTTAACACTTCAGTTTTTGTGCATTATTCAGCACAACTCTGTGTGAACCGAAGCCTCGAAGAAAGCTGTTACCAGTTTTCAGAGTATTTGTGGGGGAAGATCAACCCAAATCCTCGAATCATCTGCTCGTTTCAACCATTCATTCAGTCATCAGGCATCGAAAGTTGCTTCTCTGCTTTTTTTTTTTCATCAGCAACGATTTGTCAGGGTCAGGGATAATTAGTGTCTTTTTCGTCAGTATAAGAACACTTGGCCTGGCATTGGCAAGATGAGTGCCGTATGAATCACTTTCCTTCTTTCCATCCATCCAAAGGGAAGTCTGTACATAAACCATCTATTTTCAATTGGAATTTGTCATTGCAATGACTGGGACGAACTTGTCCACTGAGAAATGATCCGTTCGGATCAGGCTCGAAGAGTCCTGAAGGGGACATATCAAATCAAAGCGAGCCCGTGAAGTCAAGCACTCAAAGGTCAAAGCCTTATTTGGGAATAAAAGCTATTCCTGATGGAAGCATCCACCAATCCAGCTAGTTTGGGTACACACTAAACCAGCTAGCTCTCTTAAGAGATGCATATATATCTGGGTTCCATCATCTGGAAGATGTCTCAGAAGATTATACCGAATGATGATGTAATTTGTCAGTGATCGAAGAGGAACTAACGGCAACGTTTGTATACCATAGTCTTGTTCCTTTTCTGTGAGTGTCATTCGGTTTTAAGAAATCACAATGCGTTCGGCCTCCTGAGAAACAAGTCCGTCCGCGCGAAAGCTGCTTTATGTAGGCCTAAATTCGCAATTCATTTTTTTTTTGGTATGGCAAAAAATCTCTCTTCCCAGGTGGAAGTGGAATCGATCCGTTCACACGAGGCTCTCGCGTTCTTAACAATAACAAGTTTGTCGTCACTGAGATTTGTCTCTGTCCGAAACATTTGGATGGGACATCCGGACATGTCAGGTGTTGTAGCACCACTCGCCGCTGGTCGGCACGTACTGTATGTAATATAAGCTCGTGCCAAAAAAATCTGTACGTCTTTCCAAAAAGAATGCAGAGAGAAAGGGTACTAGTAGTAGTAATAATGTTCTCCAGTGATGTCATTCTCCGTGACTACGCACACATTCGGGGTTGACAATTAGGTAAGCCAAAACACTTGTACTACATGCGTGACAGGACAAGGTGTGAACAGCCAAAATCCCGGGCCCGGCCATCGTTGTTTGTGAGTCATCGCTCGTGGCGCGACCGAGACCGACTGACCGAGCACGAGCGTCCACTCATCGTGCGTTTCTCGTAAACGTTGGCGCGCCAAATATGATCAATCATTCGTCAGGCTAGGAAGAGTATTATGGGGCCAATGATTATCCATTTTATTACTTGCTCGGCTTATATCAATTTTAATCTAATGGTGGTTGTACCACGGCAACCAACCGGGGAAGCAGCCATCGTGTCGTCGCTGCATATATACCGACTTTTCCACTGCATGCTGCATGCTCAGAATCAACGCTGATGTAGCTGACAGTACTTGTGTCCACTCTCAAGGGACCCCAATTGGACCGATCCAACCAGTAGTAATGCCCTCGTGGTTTATTTGAACGGGTCCCACGCTCACACTGCAGCAGCGTGATGCACGTTACACGCATTAATCCAGTGCCATTGTCTCACGCTCACGCTCACGTTGGAATCAGGATGGCAACGGCGCTTGCGTTGACAAACCACCGGTCGCCGCGAGCGCGCGTGCCTAACCACTACTCACAGTCACGGCGTCACCGGCGCCAGGGAGCGAGCACGCCCGCCGGCGCGTGCGCCGCGGCCGCGCGAAATTGGCAGCAGACAGAGCTAGACGACGACGTCCTGCGGTGCAAACTGCAAAGTGTGAGGCGTCGTGGCTGGCTGTGGCGGCCTGCTTGGCCCGGCGCGGGCGGGCGCTAGCTGTTTCTCTTGCCTCGGCATGCGACGCGGAAGCCAACCAAGCCAACGACGCGCGTGTGACGTCCAGAGCTGAGACTTCTCCCGTGCCACGTCAAGGCCCCGTTCGCTTCAAGTACTTTAGAATTACTTTTCAGTGAACGAATAATATTTTTCTCTCACAGTAAATTCGCATACTTGCCTGCCTTCTGGCGACACAATCTTTTTTGGCTTGCCACGTACGTACTGGATAATAAAATTTGGTTCGTATCGGTACATAACAGCAGCACGGTACGGAAATTGCTCATCATCCATTGGTGCTTGTCTTCTACCCTACTCCATACTATACGCCTAGTATAACAATTGTCACCAAAGAGAAAACACGAAACGTGTCTTTTGTGTATATATGGGATGTGTAGCCATTTGTTAATTTTGGGAAGGAAAATGCTGGTAAACCTAGACATTTCTAGTGCATAGTAACCTCCTCTAATGAATAACCTAAAGCACACTACCGATTCTCGAGTTAATGGACGCCCGAAGAAAACTAGTTTCACCGAAGACCGTACTTGGGCTGACATGGCACAAAAGACGGACCAACGGACCATGGGCATGCATGGTCTGAAGCGACATGAAACACGAGATGGTTGAACTGAGCGAGCATGGCGGCCCAAGTCCTAGCTCTAGCGTCGACTGTCTAGTTTTGTTGTTCCTAATTGTACGTGCGGAGCAATTTTGGACATGTCTTATGGATGCAGACGCACAGTGCTATAGTAGATCCACCAGTCCTACAGCTCATACACTCAACAAGCGTGCAACCGCAACTCGGCCACAGGCTGCCGCCAGTCCCACCAAGCGCCAACAGCCAGGAGGGCACCCCAGTCGCTGGCACGGGCCGGGGCACGCCAAACACCGACAAGGTAGCCAGAAACTTGTGCAGATCTTGATTGGATATCCTTTGGAATGAAATTTAGAGGTAAAGTCTTAAAAATCTACCTCCGCAAAGATAGAAATGATGCGCAAATTCACAATGGCTTGTTGGACGCACGGCACATAAACCATGGGAGTGACAGAGTTAATCAGCTTTATTTCGTTCAAAAAAATGATTCAGCAACGATGCAGCCCGAAGGAAATCGATCACAAGCGTTTCAAACAAGCTCAAGCCAAATAAAATCACGCAACGGATCGGGGTTAATTGACCAGCTTTTGGTTGACGACGACCATGACTTAACTTATTATTATCATGCCATTGTGTGTGTTCAGTTGATGCCGAACCTCTCTATCCTGAGAGTGAGGAGATGACGTCTGAAATTTCCGGATCGTGCATGCAGGCGATTCTGGTGGCGATTCCACCCCCGACCTCGATCTAGATCCCCAACTCCGGTGATCTGGATCAACAAACGTCAGCGACCACTCCGGTCTCGACGTCCCTGCCCCGCCCACCGACCTCCAGTCGGCGGCGGACACCGCAAATCACCGGTTAGCCGTCCCGGCGCCGTCGACCAACAATTCCCATTAGGGGCTAGCGCCGCTAGGTTTCCCTAGGTCGGGATTACTGCTGATTGTGCGCGTCGCGATTAGCACGCGGCACAATCTTGTCCCCTCGACGATCTATGCCATGGACGCGGTCGGAGGAGGGAAGCCGGTGAATCCGGATGAGCACGTCGCTGATCTGCTGCAGAACCTAAACCTAACGGTGGAAGAAGGAGATGTGGTGGCTTTCAGCGATGATGAGGATGATGGGGAGGTCTCGGTTGTGGAGTGGATCCTAGTTGGCAAGGTGCTCTCGCCGGCGATAGTACACTCCACAACGATCTTCCGCACAATGAAGCCAACATGGGGAAACCCGCATGGCTTGAAGATTAGATCGATTGGTGAAAAGGAAGACAATCTGTTTGTGGCAGAATTCAATTTCCAACAAGACATGGAGAGGGCCCTAGGCGGATCGCCGTGGATGGTTGGCAGACATGCCTTACTTTTGCAGCACTATGACGAGCGTCTCAGGCTGTTTGAGATTAGATTTGATAGAATGGATATTTGGGTAAGGATTCTGAACCTCCCTTTAGGATGTCTGAACAGGCACCGTGGGGAACGGGCCATGAGTCTAATTGGCAAGGTGAAGAAGATAGATGTTGATAAAGATGGCAAGGCCAGTGGATCCTTTCTCCGTGCTCGGGTTGCCGTTGAGGTGGCAAAAGCATTGAGACGGGGTGTGCTTCTGAAGACTAGGAAGGATGGAAACCCTGAATGGTTCGATATACAGTACGAGAAACTGCCGTTCTACTATCTGTCGTGCGGCATTATGGGACATTCGGAACTAGAATGCGATAAACCTGTTGTTCATAATGACTCCGGGAAATTGCCCTATGATTTGAAGTTAAGAGCACCGGAGACAAAGAAGAAGAAGAAGTTCCTGAGCTTCCCAGAGTCGGCTGCGAAGTCTTTTGGTAGCGGTATGTCGTCTGGCTCCAAGCAGTCGCGGTCTACACCAATGCCGAATGACAACCGCTCGCGAGAGTCAAAGAGAAGCTCAGGAGAAGAAGAAGGAGAGGAGGTGCTCTCGCCTCTAAAGAAGGCTGCTCTCCAGTCCAGCGGAGGGGGCAAAGATGCAGCATCGAAAACAATCCGTCCACTCTTTCAGGCCCAGAAAGGTAAGGGGCAGAAAGAGGATGGTCGGACAAAGGTGCGGAAGAGAAAG